CACACACACACACACACACACACACACACAAAAGGCTGATTTCATCTATATTGAAAGGTTTACTGGTTTACCTGTCACTCCAAATCTCCTAATATGGATTGAAAATTCAGATTTGTTTTTCCAGTTGAAAATCAGCCATATTGTTTGCTCATGAGGAGCACATAGGATATTTCTTAGGGAGTTTGCTGCTCATGCTTATTCTTCTTCTATCTTGCTACTACCAGTAAGCTTCAGGGAGTGAAAATGCATATATATCTAGGAGAGAATTTAGATCAATTGGGGATTGGTATGGAAAAGGAAACAAAAAACAAAAACAATCCCTAAGTGTTGAAGTTTTAGCAACAAAGTTAAAACCAGCAAAGGAAGCACTCTGGAGAAAAAAAAAAAGAAGAATAGGTTTCTCTGGCACTAATACAAAAACTAAGCTCAATGATAACTTGACCGGCATCTATAAGTCTTTTGTTGTTGTTGGTTAGTTATATTAGTCCTGTTTGACTCTCCCATTTCATGATCCCATTTGGGGTTTTCTTGTCAAATCCTGGAGTGGTTTGCCTTTTCCTTCTCCAATTCATTTTACAGATGAAGAAACTGAGGCAGGTAGTCAAGATTAGGTGACTTATCTAGGGTCATGCAGCTAGTGTCTGAGGCCAATCTGCACTCAGATCTTCCTGACTTCAGGCCCAGTGTTCTATCCATTGTGTCAGCTAGCTGACCCTATAAACCCTTAGCACTTCATTAAGAGCTGCCTCCAGGTAACTGAGACTTACCTAAAAGACAATATTTCTTTACCCTAAGAATTTTTCTTGGCAGTTTCAGATTTTCCAAAAATATGGTAAAACAACTGCCTACAAGTTAAATATGCACTCCTTTGTTTGAGATTGAGAGTCTCTCCTAGTCTGTCTCCTACTAATTTTTTTCAGATTTTTTTCGTGTTACTTTACCTTCTATATTCTCAGTTCCTGCTGAATTTAATGCTTGCTCTTTCCTGTTTATGGCTGTCCTTTTTCCACTTCTGGGACTTTAATCAGGCTGCTGCCCATGTCTGGAATGCTCTCAATTCCCACCTCTGGCTTTTAGAATCCCTAACTCTTTTCCAGGCTCAGCTTAAATACTACCTTCTACTAGAGACCTTTTTTGATTACTCCAATTATTAGGCCTTCCTTATCCCTAATTTCTCTTTCTCTCTCTCTTTCTCTCTCTCTCTCTCTCCTTCCCCCCCCCCCACTGTCTTTTGAGGCAGCTAGGTGGTTCAGTGAATAGCACTGCACCTGGTTTCAGAAACACCTGAGTATAATAAGTCCAGCCTCAGAAAACTACCAACCAAATGACCCAAAGGGCAAGTCACTTAATTTCTTTCTGCCCCAGTTTCCTTATTTGTAAAATGAGGCTAATAATAACACCTACCTCCCAAGGTTGGTGTGAAGACCAAATGGGAAAATATTTGTAAAGTGCTTTGCAAGTCTTGAAGTTCTATATAAATGCTAGCTATTATTTTAATAATATAGTGTCCACACAAAAAGGCCACCTTATAAAGGAGAGGACCTTTTAACCCAATTCTTTTTTTTTGTTTTTGTTTTTTTTCAGAGTGTTGTTCATCTTTTTTTTATTAATAAATTTATTTATTTTTAGTTTTCAACATTTGCTTTCACAAGATTTTGAGTTCCAAATTTTCACCCAATCTTGCACTTCTCCCCACTCCAAGATGGCATGCATTCTGAATACCCCTTCCCCTAGTCTGCTTTCCCTGCTATCTCTCCCCTCCCTTCCCCTTCTATTTTCCTGTAGGGCAGGATAGATTTCTGTACCCAGTTTCCTGTATTTCTTATTTCCCAGTTGCATGTGAAAACATTTTTTTAAACATATGTTTTTAAAACTTTGGGTTCCAAATTTTCTCCCTTCCTCCCTCCCCACCCACCCTCATTGAAAAGGTAAGCAACTCAATATAGGCTATATATGTGCAGTTATGCAAAACACTTCCATAGTAGACATGCTGTGAAAAACTAACTCTATTTCCCTTAATCCTATCCTGCCCCCCATTTATTCTATTCTTCCTTTTGACCCTGTCCCTCCTCAGAAATATTTGCTTCTGATTACCCCCTTTCCCAATCTGCCCTCCTCTCTATCATCCCCCTACTCTCTTGTCCCCTTCCCCTCCTATTTTCCTGTAGGGTAAGACAGATTTCCATACCCAATTGAGTGTGTATGTTATTTCCTCCTTAAGTCAAAACCTATGAGAATAAGATTCACTCCTTCCCTCTCACCTTCCCCCTTTTCCCTTCCACTGTAAGAGCCTTTTCTTTTCTGTTTTGTTTTTTTTTGTGAGATAATTTACCCCATTCTACCTTTCCCTTTCTCCTTCTCCTAGCATAATCCTCTCTCACACCTTAATTTTATTCTCCAGATATGACCCCTTCATCTTCAACTCACCCTGTGCCCTCTATCTATCTATCTATCTATCTATCTATCTATCTATCTATCTATCTATACATACATATAATTTTTTCCCTCTAACTACCCTAATACTGACAAAAGTCTCATGAGTTACAAATATCATCTTTCCATAAAGGAATGTAAACAGTTCAACCTTAATAAGTCTCATGATTTCTCTTTCCTGTTTACCTCTTCATGTTCCACTTGAGTCTTGTATTGGAAAGTCAAATTTTCTATTCGGCTCAGGTCTTTTCATCAGGAATTCTTGAAAGTCCTCTATTTCACTGAATGACCATTTTTCCCCCTGCAGGATTATACTCAGTTTTGCTGGATAGGTGATTCTTGGTTGTAATCCTATCTCCTTTGCCCTCCGGAATATTATATTTCATGCCCTGTGGTCCCTTAATGTAGAAGCAGCTAAATCTTGTGTTATCCTGATTGTGTTTCCACAGTACTTGAATTGTTTCTTTCTGGCCACTTATAATATTTTCTCCTTGACCTGGGAACTCTGGCATTTGACTACAATATTCCTAGGAGTTTTCCTTTGGGGATCTCTCTCTCTCTCTCTTTTTTAATATTAGTTGGGGATCTCTTTCAGGAGGAGATTGGTGGATTCTTTCAATTTCTATTTTGCCCTCTGGTTCTAAAATATCAGGGCAGTTTTCCTTGATTATTTCTTGAAAGATAATGTCTAGGCTCTTTTTTTGATCATGGCTTTCAGATAGTCCAATAATTTTAAAATTCTCTCTCCTGGATCTATTTTCTAGATCAGTTGTTTTTCCAATGAGATATTTCACAGTGTTTTTTAATTTTTCATTCTTTTGGATTTGTTTTACAGTCTTTTGGATTTGATTTCTCATAAAGTCGCTAGTTTCCAATTGCTCTATTCTAATTTTTAAGGAAGTATTTTCTTCAGTAATCTTTTGGACTTCCTTTTCCATTTGTCCTATTTTGCTCTTTATGGCATTCTTCTCTTCATTGGCTTTTTGGACCTCTTTTACCATTTGGGTTAGGTTATTTTTTAAGGTGTTGTTTTCTTCAGTATTTTTTTGGATCTCCTTTAGCAAGCTGTTGACTTGCTTTTCATGATTTTCTTGCATCACTCTCATTTCTCTTCCCAGTTTTTCCTCTACTTCTCTTACTTGCTCCTCAAAATCCCTTTTGAGCTCTTCCAAGGCCTGGGACTGATTCATATTTTTCTTGGAAGTTTTGGATGTAGGAGGTTTGACTTTGTTTTCTTCTTCTGGTTGTATGTTTTGATCTTCTTTGTCACCAAAGTAAGATAATATAGTCTGACTCTTTTTGCGCTGCTTGCTCATGATCCCAACCAATTACTTGAGTTTTAAACTCTTTGTTGAGGTAAGAATCTGTTTCCAATGTGGAGAATGTACTGTCCCAAGCTTTGGGGGTTTGTACAGCTGTTTTCAGAGATACTTCTAGGGACCCGAAAACTTTCAGTTCTTCCAAGGTACTATGATAAGGGGCGAGGTGTTTCCTCTCCACCACCACAAGAAGCTCCACCAAGCCAGCGCTCCTCCTAGCCCCAGGACCACCCCTCAGAACTGTGACCCAGATCCAAGTACGGGCAAAGCAAGAGATCCCTGCCATCCCCCTCTGATCAGCCACTGAATTCCCCCTCAGTCTGTGGGTGGGAAGCTCAGGAAAAAGCTGCTGACCTCGGGGTGGCTGAGACCTAGCTTCTTCTCTTACCACAGTCACAGACTTTTCCCACTGACCTTCTAAGTTGTCTTTGGCGTTAGTTGGTTGAGAAGTCTGGAAGCCACCACAGCTGCCCGCGATTCAGCCCTCTGAGGCCTGCTCCAGGGTCACTGTGGCCTGTGTGAACTGCGCTCCTCTCCCAGCCTGGCGCAATATACCTTCCCGATCAGCCATCCAGGTTGTCTTGGGCTGGAAATTTGTTTTACTCTGGTTTTCTTTGTGGGTTCTGCTGCTTTAGAATTTATTTAAAGCCATTTTTTATAGGTATTTGGAGGGGTTTGGGGAGAGCTCAAGCAAGTTACTGCCTTCCCTCTGCCATCTTGGCTCCACCCCTTCCTTTTAATTCAATTCTTTAGATGATTTAGAAAGCAAAACCTGTGGGATTGAGATTATATTGTAAACTTTTCCTTGTTTCTGTGCTTTGCTTGCCCAAATCCTCCACTGTGTTTTTCCCTTCTCAAGTGCTAAAAGTGTATACATACAATAAGCATTCAATATAATATACGATGGAATTAAGAAACTCCAGAGCAGGGAATATTTTTTCATTAAATACTATGTAGTCATGAAAGATGAAAGCATGAGATTCAAAGGGCTTTATCTTGTCCTTAGCATACCTCATTACCTCCTTTACCTTACCTCTTTCCATATTCTTGATTAATGATTCCTTTCAAAATTGACAAACTTGGAACTAATATCTCTTCCCTCTGTGGGTTGATCTGCTTTCTAAGTATTAGGCTAAGGTCATAGCTGTCTTGAGGTGAAGGAATGAAATGCTTCATTCTGCATGCATCATACACATTTAAATTTAATTTTCCTAGTTTATACCTTCCATATCTCTTTCTTTTCTGCAGGCTATACATCGATGGACCTTTTGGGAGTCCCTTTGAGGAATCGTTGAATTATGAGGTCAGCTTGTGTGTGGCTGGAGGCATTGGAGTGACTCCTTTTGCATCAATACTCAACACACTGCTGTATGTCACTTTGATGTATTGTATAAGCCTTCTAGTCAATGTTTAGTCAAATAGAATGCTGTTACTATTTCAAGAGATTATCTCTTTACTGTATGTAGTGCCTTTAAGACTTCAGCCTTTAGAAGAATAAATAACCAAAGTTGTTAGCTAAGGAGGGAATAATGCTGCAAGTGGTATTATAGTGGGGCTACAGACAAAGTGAAGGTATAAACATGCTCCACAATGTCTCATGTCTTTGCATTTGGTTCATAACCAACAACCTGCTCTCACACTATAAATATCTAAGTGATTTGTGATAAATTACCACCACAGTTATATTCATATTCTCTCAAGGGATAACCTTTTCCAGAAGAAATACACTTCTACTTACCAATCTTAACTTACATTCCTATCCATAGCATTTCCAAACCACCCACTCACGAGATAACATATCCACACTTGTGTGATATTTATACTACCTGCCTTTTTACAATAATTACCCTTTCAGATCTTTAACATAGCCATTTACTTAATAAGGCAAAATAAATAATATTACAGATATTAATATATTAAAGAAAATGTATAAATGATAAAATGTAATATAATATACATATAAACCTCTATTATACTGTACAAACAGTACACTCCAGTGAGTGGACATATACTTAAAGAAATATGGTAAGGAAGCTCATAAAGGAGGAAAACTCATGTGCTTGGGGTTAGCCACAATTTTTGATTGCAGATTTTAATGCTATTGATCCATTTAGGAACGTCTGTTCCACATCAAAATACTTCTCTGCTCATTGCTTGACTGTTGATTCTTACCACTCTTCAGCTGGCAAAATGCTATTCTCTCCTTGAACGCAGCACTCTTTTAGTTATCTATCACCATTAAAACGGCATCCAAAAAAGTGTTAGTTTTTAACATGAATAATAGTTCTCTTTAAGTTAAAGAACTATAAAGCCTGTCAAACTGGCTATCTCTGGGCTATACAGACCAGACCAGTCCACTATTCACTCACTCAGATTTTGTGTTGTCTAGTTGGAATGGACAGAAGCACAGTTCAGGTCACAGAGGTGGGGAACTTGCAACCTCGAGGCCACATGTGGCCTTCTAGTTCCTCAAGTGCAGATCCAAGTTTGAATTCAGTGAAAGGACTACACTTGAGGACCTAGAGGTGCAGGTTCCCCACCTCTGGTTTAGGATGACTCTTTAGACTAGCTCACCAGTATGCCAAAACAACTCAAATCACTCTCTCATTTTGCTTTCAAGCCAGAGGTAGCAGCAGCATAGAGGAAGTCCTCATGAGCAGCTTTGCTGTCTCTAACTCTAGGTCATGGTGAAAGGCTATAGCTATCCCAGAGGCTCTTGGTCAGTAAAGTCAATTCTCTTCCTACCAATCAAGAATCAATCAGGGGAAGTATTCTATTTATTGAATTTTTTCAACTGCCACAGAGCAAACAGAGCATCTTTCAACACCCAACACACTTCCCCTCCCTATTCAATTCTTCTTATGTTCCAATGTCATGTTCTTCTCTTGGATTTCTTTACCTGTAAGTCACTATCATTCAGTGAATTATTTGAGTCTCCTGATTCTCAATGATTTACCTTTCATTTAGAAAGTCATAGCATGCTAACTTTCCCATTTCATATCAATAGTCCTTTTTAAATCATACCTCAGTCTCTAAATGTTTGTATGATTTCTCTTTTTAAAATATATTAACCTCAGTCATAAAACATGTATAGATCTGAGTTCCTCATCTTATTTACAGTTCTACAAGCTTCAACACAGTCATCGATCTCTTTGGTGCCCTTGAAACTGTGTTACTTTATACTCACATTTCTCTAGTTTTTAATAAATAAATTATCTCTATCTGCCTCTTTATAAATTAAACTGTTGAACTAAGTCATCATTCTACATTGTTCATAAGGAAATTGTGTCTTTATATTCATACCACAGATCATTTTCTGTCCCAAACTGTCCAGATCCTGTCTGAAAGTTATTGTGCTTCATAAGCATATACTAGCACTAGAGTAAAACAAAATTATTTTTCTACTCATTATGTATCAGAATGCTGGCATTAATGCTTGGCAATATTGTGTATATTTGTTGATGAATATAAAAAAATCTTTTACACAAATGCATCTTTTCTGAAATTGTCATCATTTAACTGCTTCATATGAAAACGGCCTTAGAGATACAGCGTACTTTACCCAGGCACTGCTGATCTGGACTTTGGAAGGCTTAAATCTCACTCCACAGATTCCCAATCATGTGACTTTCTGGATTAGCATTCTAGGATGGCACATTCTTCTCTTTACCCTTTCCATCTAATCTTTTTCCATTGTCTGCAAGTGAACCATATGCTTTCTGGGAAAAAAAAATTGATACTACCCTCTTGTTCCCCCAGTGAATGTCTAAGAAATGACACAAAACCAAATTACTCCTACCCATCTGTGAAGATAGCCGGCTTCCCATATTTAAATTTATCTTTAGAAGAATAACATCATAGGAAAACTGATTTAGAACTAAATAAGACTTTAAAAGTAATTGTGTCCAGGCTAATTTTGCAGATGAGGAAAGTTAGTCACAAGTAATCTGGGTGACTTGTCCAAGTCTTCACAGATAGTAAATGGCAGGTATGATTTGAACCCAGGGTTTTCAATTCCAAATCTCATACTTCTTGTACTGTGCCACTTTGCTAACTCTCAATAAAATCAGATTCCTTTTAATAAGGGAGGAAATGAGAAGAGGATGCTTGGTCTATCCTGATTCATAGTCTTACTAATCATGGGTGAAAGAACTTGAAGCTATGTTCTTTTGTCTCCAAGTCCTATAAGCTTCCTCTTAAGCCATCTGTGAAACAAATTCCAGGGCTCTAGTATTCAACACTTTTTCCTCCCAGGACCTCAGTATTACTGGCTAACTGGGATCATAGGATTTTGATCTGGATGGGAAATTAGAGAGCATCTATTTCCTTGTTTTACAAATAAATTGTGGCCCAGAATGGTAAAATAACGTTCTCCACAGGTATATATACAGTAGTAGCAATGAGTCAGAATTCAACCTCAGGCCTTCTGAGCCCCAATCCCATATTTTTTTCCATTACAATGTGCTACCCAATTACTAGATGCCAGCCCAATTTATTGTTGCCTATAATGTCCAAATTCTACTTCAATCAATACATAATCTCCTCTGGGATGGGGGGAAGCATCACAGTGAGGTAGAAAGAATATATTGGATTTGAGGAGGACATACGTTGGATTCCCAGCTCTGCTACTCATAAATTTTATTGTCCTTGGGAAAGTAACATAACTTTTTTAAATCACACTTTGCTCATCTATAAAATAGTGAGGATGGTGGATTATATTAGAGAACTAAGCTTCAAAGATCCATTTCAGCTCTAAGTCCTTTGATCCCCTCACCTCATGGGTATGAGAAAAAAAAAGTAAGCCTTGTCTTGTAAGAATATAAGACAGTAGATAATATAAAAGGCACTTCACGGGCTTTAGCACAAAGCCTCAAACTTTAGCCTAGCAGTAATAAAGCAACATTTATTCATCACATACTTTTTCTGGAATATTGTGCTGGCTGACTAAGCTCTATCTGGCTAACAGTATTCTGGCTATAAGGAGTAAGAGAGGCAGCATGTTGTACTGTTGATTTTGCTGTCAGAAACACTTGGGTCTTGCCTCTGAAACATAACTATGTGACCATGGACAACTCACTTAATGCTCCAGGCAACTCTCAGATACTATAAATTATAGTCCAGTAGCATATCTGTGTTGATGTAGGGAGTTTGCACACTAATATTTCCCAACACCAATGAAATCATAGACACAGGCCAAAAAAAAAAAAGGTTAAAAAAGAGACCTATCGATAGAATCAAAAGAAAGGAGTAATGGAGAGATTAAAAAAAAGAAAGAAGAGAAGTAGGTAGGGAAGGAGGAAAGAAAGGAGTGAGGGAAGGAGGGATGAAGGAAAGAAGGAAAGAAAAAAAACAAAAGAATGGGGAAGGAATGAAGGAGGGAGGGAGGGTGGAAGGAAGGAAGGAACGAAGGAAAGAAGGAAGGAAAGAAATTCTACTCAGGAGCTAGATGACTCCAGCTACAGTTTCCTACTTTTTTCTACCTACTGAGTAGCTACCTATTTTTCCAAATAATTACTTTAATAATTACTATTGCTTAGACATAGACTCCCACTTGTAATCTCATTTTGGTTTCATAACCCTATAGCAGTCATTTTGAGCCTGACTCTGCTACTTACCTCCTGGTGGTCAAAGTACATGATGACATTTGGTACCTGCAGACAGTATCAAGTCATTTCCATTTTTTTTTTTTGAAGAAATTCTAGCAGGTGTAGAGCTATAAGCTAGTTTACTGAAAGATATATTATTCATAACCACTGTTAAATATTCTTTCCCTCTTCACTCTAACACAGCCTAGCCTTGCCCATGTAACATTTTTTTGGACTTCAGGCAGGATCAGAAATTATATTTCGTCTCTCTCTCCCCCCTACACACCTCAGATTTCCTTAGTAAACACTTAGGGATTGGAGACAGGGATTGGGATTAGACCTGTGATTTCTCTGTTATAGGTTTCTCCTGGGAAAGGAAATTCCCTCTGAGGCTTGTACCTTCTCCTTTTCCCACTATACCCCTGCCCCCCAAAAAGGTGATGGACTATTTAAGTTTTTTTTTCTTTTGTGAAAATCAAATAGAATAAGAAATAAATGGGTCCGCAATTTGACCCAGCTAATTTATTTTTACCAAATGACAGAAAGCAGAACTATTCAGTCTCTATTTTGACTGTATCCTCTATATTGGAAAAAAAATCCATCAATTTGAGATATCAACATTGGAATAAAATCTTTTGAGAAGTTGTGAATTCCTTGTCATTGTGAGTATTCAAACAAAACATTGATGGCCATTTGGCAGGTCTGTTTTTAGTGGCTACGTGCATGAAGTAAGAAATTACACTAGATGACTTTTTTTAACTCCAAGATTTAATGATCCTTTGTTATTCTCCCATTGACATAGTGGCAAGTAGAAACAAGGTAAATGTTGTATTCCATAGCCTAAAAAAATATTGTGAAAATCATAAATCTAGGCATCATCATAGGAGGTTGGGGCTTAGAACTTCTTGAAATTGGATTTTATTTTATTTTTATAAATAGAGTGGGAAATAATGGAGTGGGATACTTTAGAATTTTTTAAGAACAAAATCAGTTGTGATCCTGGGGATATAAGTATTTTGTGATGAGTCAAGTTGCACATGTCATGATGAAGACTCAAGACCACAGTAACCCATGGGGATCTATTTTTCAAATGTTTGCTTGTGGTTCATAAATACCTTCTTCTAGTTCTGATGATTTTCTGCATTTCCTTTTTCTTAATACTTAGTATGGAGAAAGTTGCATTCAATGACAATGCATTCAATTTCAAGGGGCACTATTAGTCTTTTTATAAGAACAAAATGTAAGCTAGAAACAAATGAGCTCCTCTATTGTCGTATAAAAGAATCCTAAATTTATAGTACATAAAATATTATGACCTGAAACATCAATTTTTTGAAAACTGGATTGGCCCCCTCCAAATGTCTAAAAGTTTTAATCTTCTTAATTAGACATAGACCATTGTCAGTGGAGATAGAATGTTCAATGTGTGGTCACTTTTTTTTTTTTTTGGTGAGGCAATTGGGGTTAAGTGACTTGCCCAGAGTGACACAGCTAGTGAGTGTTATATGTCTGAGGCTGGATTTGAACTCAGGTCCTCCTGACTCCAGGGCCAGTGCTTTATCCACTGTACCACCTAGCTGCCCCTGTAGTTGCTTTTAAAAAGCACATATCTCAGTCTCAGTATCAAAGTAAAGCTAATAGTTTGATCAATACAATGATCAAAGACAATTCCAAAGAACTCATGATGAAAAATGCTATCCACTTCCAAAGAGAAAATTGATGAATTCTGAAAGAAATTAAAGCATGATTTTCATTTATTTATTTATTTATGTTATTTTTAATAGCATGGCTAATATGGAAATATGTTTTATATAACTTCTCATGTATAGTTGATATGATATTGATTTCCTTGTCAATGGTTGGGGAGGGGCTGGAGGAAGGGAGATAATTTGGAAGTCAATTTTTTTTAAATCAGCATTAAAAATAAATGTTTTAAAAAATATAAGTGTACAGCTAAAAAAAAATCAGACTTCCTCCACCAGAAATGTTAGTTTACTTATTTTCACTAGTAGTTTTGTGTATTATGCATATCAAAGAGTATAATCCCATGTCTCTGTGACTTCTACATGTACAATTTTAATTGAAATCTGTTCAAAATTAGAGAGGATATGCCCATTTGGAAACTTTTATTGAACATAATTGCGCTTCTAATGGAGGCCTGGATCTCAAATTGAATTTAATATGTAGTTTGGCTGCTATCAACAATTTAGCAAGATTTATTAGCCAATTCTTTCAAAAATTCTGGTCAAATGAAATAGTCAGACAATGAGGAAATAGAAATCAGTCAGTATGAAACAGAAACCTCATTTTCTTGTACTCCATGATGTAATCTCTTGTAGTTTTTTTTTTATTATAGATGGTGTAAGTTAACATGTATTATAGCTACTTGAGATAAACTTTGATGTGTCTAAATTCTATGTGTGTGTGTGTGTGTGTGTGTGACAGAGAGAGAGAGATTGAGATTTTAGAATATTAATATTCATCTTTGGGTCCAATATAGAGACTATAATTTAAAATGGCAAAATATATGAAAGACAACAAAATACCTTAAAATAATAAGGAACATTAGTTCTTATTATTTAATAGCTGAATTCCTCTTTATACTATAACATGATTGCTTAAAAAAAATAAAAAAAAATACGAGAAAAATAAAAATAGAGAGCTAGCTCTTGAGCCCTGCTGTGAGGGGTCACCCAGCTGATTCAGACAGGCAAAAATGGAGAGTATCCAAAGGTAAGATCCCTTAACCAGAAAATGTTCTGCCATCAGCTGCTTTAAATTGGAGACTGTCAGCAGAATTTCAAATGGTCTTATTTGGCATAAAATCTCTCAAGAAAAATGTCAGCAGGAAATTACCACAAAAAAAAGTTCCTGTATCTTTCTAAAGTAGACATAAACCTTCACATTAAAAGTCCATTTTGGGGAATGTAAAAATAGAGAAAAAGAAAGAAAAATGTATTCAGGTGTGTTGTGTTTTTCTCTCCTCTCCGTCTATCAGATGCATTGTGTAAATTTGGGGACATTAGAGATACTTAGAAAAATAACTATATTTTTCTAGCCGGAGTAATTTGTTTTCAATTGTGCATTAGAGACTATTTGGACATCCCCTTTGCTGGGAGAACAAATTCTTAACCTCAGAACTACTTCATCATCATAATAAAAAGGAACACAGACTCTTGGAATGTGTGACACTGGAATCCATTACATAGGGGCATTGTGCAATTTTCTCCCCTGAAGATTTTTAAAAGTAGGGTAAACAACCCATTTTCTGGAATGGTTCTTGGGCGGGATTTCTGGGAAGACAGGTCAAGATCAAATGACCTTTGGAGTGAGATTTCTATAGCCACATGATCCAGGGAAATCCAGTTTGTTTTTTCCCCTCTAAGAGTTCAGGATTGGTATTATTCTGATTTATGTGTCAGTTTTTTGCAGTGATTTATCAGACAGGTGATATGTTGATACATAGTAGATGGCCCTCAGGTGTAAATGTTTTACTCTTGGGATTCATGCATCATTACACGGAGGTTTGGTACCAGTGTTTTGTTTTAAACTAATGTGGGGCTTCAGCCACTGATACATCCTCAGAAACCAAGATGTAAATAGGCTTCTCTACTTATTGATTGTTTTCTAATAGCAAGTAAATTTTCTAAGGCATGCCTTTAATTGCTTTTTTGCTGCCTTATACCCTAACATGGCATTTTAATTTTAAAGGGATGACTGGAGACCATACAAGCTCAGAAGACTATATTTCATCTGGGTGTGCAGGGATATCAAGTCCTTTCACTGGTTCGCAGATTTACTCTGTGTGCTGCATAACAAGGTAATTTGGTAAAGAAACAATTGATAGGTGTTCTCCCCCCACCCCCGCCGGGCATAAATGCCAGCTCTTCTTGATACTGGTCTTTCATTTATGCCTTTTAGAGGGCTGTTTAAAAGAATCAGCTGGATTGTTGTCAATAATAACCAATGTGTCAAGAAGCTCTATGAAAAACCAGAGAAAAACAGGGCTGTGGGGTGAAAGGGCAAGGAGAGCATAGTTAGCTTTATCAGGGAAGCACAGTGATTGAATATATAGCCTCAGCATGGTAGTGGAAAAGGACCTAAGATCGCTCATTGGAGCTCAGCCATTCACTTCTGGTGAAACCTGAACCTCTCTACCTTTCAATTTCCTTGTCTGCAAAATGAAGACTAAATGACATCTAAGGTCATCTTCCAGCTCTAAATTGATGGTGTGTCTCCCTAACCCCCAATTATGCTCAAAAAAACATCTTAGAAAAGGGAGAAAGGAATAACTTTTCCATCTTTTTCTAATTGCAAAATTCTGAGATTTTTCTTTGTTATGATTCATTCAGCAAAAATGTTTTAAGTTTCTGTTATGTGCAAAGTATTGTGCTGTTTTACTAATTATAACTGCACATTTCTATTGCACTTCAAGGTTTTCAAAGCTCTTTCTGCATAGAAACCCTGTGAAGGTGCTAACAGCCCTGTTGGCTTCTAAGGAGAATTTTAAATCTATTTGGGTTCTTATTGCCTGCCTTTAGGGAGTACCTGCTCTGCAGGTAATCTGTACACCTGTCCTGAGGAGCTTTGGGGACTGAATATAAAGTGCAATATTTAGCTGTTGTGACTAGGTAGGCACCAAACAATTCAATTCAACAAACATTTTTTAAGCCCTTACTGTGTTTTGAATGGACTGTATACTAAATGCTATCCCTGGTCTTGAGGAAGATTCAAAGTTTAGGTAAGACAAAGTTGTTGCTCCCTGAGGTTACAGTTTAGTGAAAAGAGAAAGTGCAAACATGTGCAATTACAATACATAATAAATGATATATGCTGAGTGTGATAGAGGAACATAACAAAAGTGTTATGTGAGGGCCAAGGGAGAAGGTTGTTAATGACCTGGGGTAGCAAGCAAAGCTTTGTGGAGCAGGTGGCATTTAAATTTGGTTTTCACTAAAAGGTAGGAATTGAAAATTGCAGAGTAAATTAAACGCCATTTTCTGAGTCGCAACTTGTATTTACTTCTTGGTAAATCCCAATAGAATGTATAGAAGCATAGAACCAAAGTAGTTATTAGACCTAAAAGTATGATTCGTTGCTTATGATTAAGAATATGTTATCTCTGTAACTTTTCAAAAATGTGTGTAGATTCCTCATATGCTTCCACCCTAGTTCAGAAGCTGATTGCCTCTCTCCTGGACTATTGCAATTACATCCTAATTGTTCGTGTTTCTTCAAATCTCTTTCTTTTTCAATCTGTTCTCTGCAGCTGTCAAAGTGATTTTCCTAAAATATGGATCTGATCAAGTCACTGCTCAGTAAACTTCACTGGCTCCCTATAACCTTGAGGATCAGATACGGAATCTTCTTTGACATTTTAAAACACCCTAACTCCAACTTACGTTCTAGACTTCTACATTTCTCTACTTACACTCCACTAGCATACCAAACCTCCTTTCTTGCTGTTCCTCACACATGCCATTCTGTCTGCTATATCTGGGCCTACACATAGACTGTATACCATGACTGAAATGTACTCCTTCCTTACCTGTGTCTTCGAATCAATCCCTAGCCTCTTTCAGGGCTGTGTTCAAGTGCAGTATCTTTCATGAGGCCTTTTTTGATGCTACCAGATGGGAATGCCTCCCTTTCAGCCGCTTACTTTGTATTTATTTCACACACACACACACACACACACACACACACACACACACACACACACACGCTCAGTGTATACCTGTGTGTATGTACACATCTTATCTTCCCAGAGACAATGATGGCAGGGATTTTTGTTTTGGCCTTTGTATCCTCTGCATGTACCCTGGTTCCTGGCACATAGTTAGTAGCTAATAAATGCTTGTTGGTTGATTGAATTCTTGCCTGTACTTTCTCATTATTTATTCTCTAACCTTTTGCAGTCTGACTTTTTTTTTTTTTGCCTACCACTCTTAATAAAACAACTCTCTTAAAAGTCTACAATATCCTTTTAGTAACTAGTAACAGATTTTTAATCCTTATTCTTCAGTTCTGGAGGCAGGTAGGTAGTGCAGTGAATATAGCACAGGGCCCGGAATCAGGAAGACCTGTGGTTAAATCCAGCCTCAGCCACTTATTATCTATGTGACCCTGGGCAAATCACTTAACTACTTCCTGTCTCAGTTTCCTCAACAGACACTAATAGTGTTTCCTCTACTGTAAAATGAAGGTTATAATAGCATTTACCTCCCAGGGTTGTTGTGAAGATCAAATAAGATTGTTTTTATAAGGTCCTTTGCAAATCTTAGAGCACTGTATAAATGCTAGGTATTATTTGTTTTATGATTAATTTACTTTCATTGGCTCTTACTTTTTTATCTCCTAAATTGGGTGTTCCATCAAGGGTGTGTCCCTGGCCCTCTTCTAAATTCTCCCTTGGCAATCCCATTCAGTCTCAAGCTTTCAAATGCCACCTCTATGTAGATGACTCCCAAGTCATTATCTCCATCTCTGTCCTCTCTTCTGAGTTCCAGACCTGGAACTAGAATACTTGCATCTAAATGTCTCACCATTACTTAAAACATAATATTCAAGATTGAAGTTTTGATCTTGCCTTTTAGACCTGTTCCTGCATGTTGATTTTACATTTTTCTGTTAGTGGTGCCACCCAGTCTCCCTTATTTGAAACCTTGGGGCTCTTTTTGGCTCTTACCACTGCTCAAAAATGAACTCAGTATGAACTTCCTTCAGCACTATCTCTTAAATCTATTTCCTTTTTTTTTTTTGCCTTCCTACTGTCACCACCATGGTGAAAACCCTCAACAAGACATCATTACAACCCATCTGGATTATTGAAATGACTTTCACTTAATGGAAGGCTATCCATCTCCATTCTCTCTGCCATCTATTTTATCTTTCACTGTTGCCTAATTTTCCTTATGCATCAATATAATTGTATCTCTCCATTGTTACCTGTCAATGAATCACTCAATAAACATTTATTAAATGCTTACTGCTTGTCAAAAACTGTACTAAACACTGGAGATATAAAAAAAAAATTAAAAGCATAGTCCCTGGCCTCAAGGAGCTCACATTCTAACGAGGGAGACAACATGTATGTACATATAAGATATATACAAAGAAGGTAATCTCAGAGAGAAGGCACTAGCAATCCCCTGAATCTCCTGTGATTCCCTAATTTTGTCTTTGTTTACATTGTTTCCTATTCCTGGAATGCTTTTTCTCAGCCTTTTCTTCCACTAGATCATTACAGATTCTTTAATACTAAACTCAAATACCCTCGATTTCTTGATCTCTACTTATATTGTTCTTTGGATATTGACCTCTTCTCAGACATCACATGGCATTTTTGTACCTTTTTTAAATATACTTACAAACTATATGCTCCATAAGGACAGAGACTATATCTTCTCTAAACTTTGCATCTTCCTCAGTACCTAGAACAATATTTTGTTCAGAATTGGATATGTAATATGTAAGTTCCAGATTTTGGCAGAATTTGGAATCAGAAAAACATAGAATTTGTCAGGAAATAATGTGTACAGGAAAAAAATAAAACAATGTGCTGGTATCTTTTTTTTTTTTAATATCCTCCCAGCTTTGGCAGGAGAACCGACCTGACTATGTGAACATCCAGCTGTACCTCAGTCAGACAGATGGAATACAGGTATGTGACTAAGGCTGTCTGAAACTGCAGCAGGCTTATCAGGCCTGTTATGGGGAGATCTGGCATGGCAGCTGAAGCCCTCAGGTAATTAAAACAAGGAGCCATCAAGCAAAAAACCATCTTTTAAGGAATTTTTTAAAGACATTCTGTCCCAAGGGCGTTCACCTCAGAATCTTGTGCTTAAAATTCCCTTTGATTATCCTTGAAGCTATCAATGCCTTCCAGTGGTCTGCATACAGCCTCTACCAGTAGATATGCTTTCATGAAGGTTCTCTGTGCTGGGTTGGGGGTGGGGGTGGTGGCAATAGAGAGGGAATATGAATGCACATTTGGCCTAATTTCCTTACAAGAAAATCTAGCATTGAAGAGTAAGGCTGACATGTGTAACTAGGCATCAATAACCACAGTGATAATAACCACAACAACTCACATTCCTATAGCGCTTTATGGTTGATTTAGTTCATTGATTATAGTTTGACTTTAGAATTTTTTTGTTTTTCATTTCTGAATCATCCTACACATTATGACTAGGTGCCATTCTACCACAGTTAATGTCCTGATTTCTACCTCAACTCCCTGTCTAGTACTCTGTCTGCTGGCAACATCAGATCCCTCTCTACTCTAACCCTCTTATTCAATTCCATTACTTTTTGTCAATTATAAGCATCATTTAGTCAATAAACATGTCTTGAGAGACCATTGTATACACTGTCACTGCACCAAGACCTTCAGATCATTCTTTTATATTAAACTTGTCATGGCTGTGAATATATTTCCAAATTTATGGTGCTCGTTTGTAGTATTTCACTTGTATAATTAGTTAGCTCTGACATTAGTTTTTGTGTTGTAACAGCATCTATAAAATATATATGCTGAGAATGAATAGTTAGATCACATTCTTTGTTGCATACTATGGTTGTTTAAACAAACAAGTCAAAGAAATTGTAATTTGTAATTTGTAAGAATGGCATTCAAGACAATTGTAAGGAAAAAGAGGAAAAGAATAATTCCTAAAAGTAACAGTTAATGCCTTGCCACTTAATTCTTAAATGTTCTTCATGATTTGGTAGGGAGCTATGGTGTTAGGAATGATGTTAGAACAATGGGTTATCTCAAAAAACCTGTAAGTCATGCAAAATAAAACATTGTATTTTTGGCAGAAAATAATCGGTGAAAAGTATCAAGCACTGAATTCTAGACTTTTTATTGGAAGACCTAGATGGAAACTTCTCTTTGATGAAATAGCCAAATGTAACAGAGGGTAAGTACTGATCCTACAGGATTTTGAAATGTAGTTAGTGATTAAATTAATATCATCACGTACTGTGCTTGCTTTTCTAAGGTATCATAGTAGCTGAAGTAAATGCAATATTGAAGTGTTTTAGGATGCATTATTAGAGGACTTCTTTTTTTAGATGAACTTAACATGGCAGCTAAGTGGTACAGATGATAGAACACTACATCTGGAGTCAGGCAGTCTTGATTGTGATTTTGGCCTGGAACACTATGCAGCTGTGTGACTTAACCTCTGTCTACTTCAGTTATCTCATTTGTAAAATGGGGATAACAATAGGACCTACTTCCCAGGGTTGTTGTGAGGATAATATCAGATAACATGTACAAAGTACTTTGCAAATCTTAAAGATCTATGTAAATATTGTTAGTATTAAAGAATGACTGTGAAAACTTGCACATAGAAATGCTGCAGTTTTCCACCTCAGTGGATTAAAGACTGACCCAAATAAGCAAAAATAATATAGTCCACTTACATCTCATAATGTCAAGGAGGTGACCTTGGGTTCTAGAAACCGATAACAGTAGAGAATCTAGATTGTTGTAATAGCCTTTTAACAGGTTTCCTTTCCTCCAGTTTTTTCCTCTTCAGGAAGCACTCACAGAGCCACCAAAATCATCTTTATGTGTAACTCTCACCACAACTCACTTGCAGAAAAAGCGTCTCTGCCTCCCTATTGCTTATAGAATCAAATACATGCCATTAAACATAAGGCTCTTTGTAATCTGATTTCATCTACCTTTCTACCATTATTTAATATGATTGCCTGTCTTATCTTCTACATTTCAGTCAAACAGATCTACTGTTTCCTGTTATCTCTAGGTACCATGCATTCAAGTAAGCTCAGCTCAGGTGCTACCTCATCCATGAAACCTTTCCTGATAACTCCCCATACCCATTCCCTTAATTGAAAATAATCTCTTTTTTCAACTTTTCTTAGAATGTTTTACCTGGGTCCCTCCTTTGCTTTTTTCACATTTTATTATGGATCGTCCTTATATGTCATATCTCTCCCCTCACCTCAAGTAAATTATAAGGATCTTGATGTCAGATAAAGTGATGTTTTTCATTTTGATATCTATAGGATCTAGCACAGTGCCTTGTGTCTTGTAGGTGCTTAATGAATGTTTGTTAAATTGAACTGAGATGAATCTAGGCTAATCCTGTCATAAAACAGATGAGGGAACTCAGGTACAGAATCAAGGGAGTTGCCCAAAGTTACATAGCTAGTTAAGGCTGACTTTAAGTGCTCGTCTTCATTTTGCTGCTCTGATTAGGACTACTTCCTTGAGGCTTTTTCAGGAATATTTCTCCTCCCTCATCTCCTGAATCCTTCCTCTTAGAAAATACACACACATATGTGTACACACACATGCACACACACACACATACACACACACACACACACACAGAGTCATCCTCTGCTTGGTTCTAGGAGCTGTCTGCCTTTTCATTCCTAGTTCTTAGTTCTACTCAGATTTCAACATGCTTCCAAGTTTCAGCTTTCCTGTGCTCACCTAGCCACCAACCACTAACTTCCCTAAGGTTCTATTGCCAGGGCTTCCTTTTTAAAGGTAAAATTGGTTATTCCTATACCTTCCAGACTCCCCATTCAAGACCAGTCTAGACACTTCTTCTAGCACTCTCTGTGAATATATTCAATGATTTCTTTTACTTTCTTTTCTACTTATTATCTTCATTCCCTTACTCAGATGGAATTTTTTGTTTCATCCCATCTACTGCTCAGCTGTGCCAACAATTCATTCTTGGTCAGTAGCTTAGCCAATACAATTTTTTCTTCTCTCTTTCATCTTTTCTCTTCTTTTCTCTGTTACAAAAGAACATTTTCATGAAGAAAGCATGGGTATATGTACATATATATGTATATATTTGTAAAATATAGATCTTATCTTTTCATATGATGGGCTCAAGTCCAGCCATGTCACTGAGTTGAATGAAACTGATTACATCTGCCCCAAATGCCTAGTATTCCTCTAGCCAGAAAATAATTCTGAACCAGAATTCAGACATTAAGCCCTAAGTACAAAGGAAGTTAGTTAAAAGCTAACTTGTATAAACACTTGAAAATACTTTTTGAAACTGGAATGTCTGTGATATGGTTTCATAAAATATAAAGGGGGGGAGAAAATAGTGTTCATAACATGAACACATATTATGGTATTTAGTGCCTTATAAAAATAGGAATGATGGAAAATTAATGCCAGCCAACCAGACTTGACTATCTATACTCTGACCCCACTCTATATATCCCCAAAAGAAAATATAATTTTTTTGTTAGATACTCCTCTAATATTTCACTGACTGTATAAATTTTATCATTGTCAATTTTTGTTGATATTGTTGGGCTATATCAGATGCACTGGACTGGCTCAGATCACTTCACTGTACCTAAATATTCCTTGGTTTATGATCATGTATTTGCATTTGGGTCACCAGCAGAGGAAACTCTTCCTTATTTGGTAGGGGAAGGGAACAAGATTTATTAAGCACTTGCTATGTACCAAGCACTGTGCTAAACTTTACCAATATTATTTAATTCTGTCTTCCCAACAACACTGGTTGGTTGGTACTATTGTTTTTCCCATTTTACATTTGAGGAAACTGAGACAGAGAGAGGTTAAGAGATTAGCCTAGAATCACACAGCCAGTAAATATCCAAGTCTAGATTTGAACTCAGGTCTTCCTGACTTTAGCATTCTATCTACTGTGCTGCCTACCTACCTCTATGGTAATGTAATTTAGTTAATGCTTATACAGCATTTTGATGTTTGTACAGCTCTCTACATATAGTAGTTCATTAAGCAACATCAAACTCTTTCATGTAGGTGTTATTATCCTCATTTTAAGGATGAGGAAACTGAGGCTCACAGAATTTAAGGGACTCATTAAATCTACTTACTTAAGTCTATTACTGTTTTGACTACACCATGATAATTACCTAGCATAGATGAGCTGACTTTTTCTTCTAAAGAATAAAATCATAGAATCATGGATTTACATCTGAAAGGGACCCAAGAAGCCATATAATACAACCCCCTCATTTTATAGCTGAGGCTCAGAGAATTTAAATTACTTAACAAGGCTATGAAAGTAGTATCAGAAATAGAATTTGAATTCAGGACCTCTGATTCTGAAGTCATCATACCTCAGTTTTTTTTTTTAAATAAGATAATGATGAACATATTATAGCTATATAAGTGACATCTGGTAGCATTATAGCATAAGGGGAGAAAATTGCCAGCCTGAAAGTCTAAAGATCTGCATTCTAGTCCCACTTCTTCCATTTAGCTTTCTGTCCTTATTAACTTAAAAGTCACTTAACGTCTTTGGATCTGTTTTCTCATTTTGAACATCAGCAGGTTGGACTAGATATGTTTTTAGGCTCTTTCCAGTTCTAACAATATGGGGGTTTATGTACAATCAAGATATCTCATTTGAAACAAGGATAGGAAGGTTCCATACTATCTAGAATGAGTTAATTCATGTCTCAAACTTTTATTTAACTGTACTTGTCTTCAGTTGTTGTTCTCATAGTAAATACTGGGGTCCTGCCAGCTTAATTTACAGCTACCTTAGAAATCACATTAAAACTTTCTGCACCCTGTTTCTCAACTGTTTTTCAGCAGCAGCAATCTCAGTGTGAACTCCATTCTGAGGCTATTCACACTGGTAAAGTTATTCTCCTAAGTGTGTGGATATTCTTGATACAACAGAAGGGAGAGAAAATTTTTTTTTTAAATTCTTAATTCTACACTGTTTCTCTCTAACTAAAATTTATTAAGAAATAACATGGCCACTTTTCTGTGAGTACCTTCTTTACTTTAAACCTAGAGTCAGTGAGAACTAGTAATTGGAAGTGGTATAGATCCCTTTCAATTTGATATGTCTCTATCAACAGCATGTACTATTGCCCCAGCTTCTTCCTTCCATCTCTGTGGAAGAGAGACTATAAATCCTCACTTGGCTATTGCAGGTTTAGCATGATATGAACTTTGGTTCATGCTTTTTTGCTTTTAAACAATTAAGTTTAAAAAATAGGAAAATTTTAAATGATGAAATTTCAATTTGCTTTAATATATGTGTATTAAGTTCCCTTTCTCATCACTCTCCCATTATCACTTCATAGGTGGAAGTTTGCCCCCCCCCCCCACCCTGGATTGAGAGATATTTTTTCCTTTTTTTAATTTGTCATGAAAAAAAAAATCATCACCAAGAGGCCAATCTCCTGGTGATGTATCTCCTTGTAATTAGCTAAGTTAGTCCTCAAAAAATGGAGATTGTCTGTTCCAAAGGCTAAAATCAAAGCTGTTCCAGCATGGTGGAACTTATCAGAGGCTTTGCTCCATTGCCTCAGCATTCAAGAAACAAGGATCTTCTCCACGCTACAATGAGACATCTGAATAGGACTTTCAGAGAACCTTTTCCTCAGGTGATTTTATAGGAATATTTAAAATATACTAAATGGAAAGAGACATGATTTTGTTTATGAATTTTCAGCAGGAGACAATAGCAACTGATCACATCTGCCCCAAACAACTTTTATTTCTGTAGCCAGAAAATAATTCAGACCCAAAATTCAGATATTAGACCCTAATAACAAAGGAAGTTAGGTAAAAGCTAACTTGTACAAACACTTGAAAATATTTTTTAAATAGGAATGTTTGTGATATTATGGCTTTGTAAGGGGAAGAGGAGAAAAGAGTGTTCATAATATGAAAGCATATAAAACAGGAGTGATGAAAAATTAATGCCAACCAACTAGACTTGACTATCTATAGCCTGAATCTGCTCTACACATCTCTAAAAGAAAATATAATTCCTTATTAGATATTCCTCTAAGAATTCTCCGACTCGCTGATCTTATCATTATCAATATCCCCTTTGGTTACTCAGTCTGTCAACAAGTAGAAAGTACCTACTTTGTGCCAACCATTCTACTAGGTATTGAGGATACATCAAAAAGCTGTACTGCCCTTTCCTCAAATATTATGTTTGAAAATCTAGGCTAAGTGATACATTTTAATTGATATGAAGGATAGATTGATAGAATTAAAGACAGGAAGATGTAAGGGGCTACAAGGATAAAAATGAAACATTCCCAGACCTCAAGGAGTTATTGGTGTGTGCGCTCCCTCCACAATGTGCCCCATGCATGTCTTCTTATCCAATGTGAGCATGTCCTTGCATAAGTTCCATTTGGCTTGTGTATGTATCGGGGAAGAAACAAGGTGAGGTAAGACTTCCATTTTAGCTAATTTGGACGTTTCTGGTTAGTTACAGTGTCAACCATTGTGCTGCTTTTAGAACCAACTTCTGATGAGGGTATTTGTATTCTGAGCAGGGATAGAATCCTGGAATCATGTCACCTTCCTTGAAGTTGCTTAATTAAGAAATCAAAGTTACCAATAAACTAGAGGGTCATTTATAACTAATTGGTCTGGAATCATTGAGTTGTTCTTGCTTTTTTATTGGCTCATGTTGCTGTGTTTTTTTTTTTTTTGTTAAACATTGCCCAATAGCTCAGAAACTGGGCTGTATTTTTGAACTGTCTCAGAGGAGCTGATGTGCACCATCTGCTGTTGATATTTTATATTACACTATCACTGTCTGCTGTGGGACCACTTTTTAAAGGATCATTGATTTAGAGCCAGAAGGAATTTTAGATTTCATTGAGTCCAACCCTTGAATTTTATAGTTGAGGAAACTAAGGCTTAGAGAAATTGAGTGATTTTCCCCAGGACACACAGCTGGTAAGTATAAGACTGGAATTTGAACTTACATGTTCCTGTCTTTAATTCTAGTAATCTATCCTTTATACCAATTAAAATGTATCACTTATCCTAGATTTTTAAACATAATATTTGAGGAAAGGGCAGTACAGCTTTTTGATGCATCAGCTACTTTTTGAGATAAAAAATACCACATAAATGGAAAGAAATGGAAAGGAAAGTGAGGAATAGAAGACAATGTGAATGAACATATTTGTTCATACTGCTTTATGCAACAACTTAATATAATTTATGAGTATTAAAAATAACAATAATGTTCATGTTACAAAATGGGATTAACAAATAGGAGAAAACTAAGAAATGTTGACAATCTATTCAGAGAAGATTAAGACTTACTCAAATGAAAAAAAAAATTAGAGAATGAGTAGACTTTTGCTTCTCAATTTCCTGTAATTAATAGCTTTTGTACAAGAGAGGTATTGGATCCATTCATTCCATATGTAAGCAAATGTTTACGAGGTACCTATTACATGAAGAGGTAGACTCTGGGATGTATACTAAAATAAATAAGAAATAATTCCTTCTGTCAAAGATCTTATTTTATGTTATATTTTATGTATGCTTCTGAGGGCTGCCTTTTTCCTCCCATTAAAGTTTTCTTTGCTCCTCATCACTCCTCCTTCTTTCCTTGGCATTTTCATTATTCTGTACCATCCACCTTCTACCTCTGCTATAGGGGATCCAAGAAAAGAAGAGTTGAGATAAAGATAAATTCAAGGCTTCACGTTTTAACTGGAAGATTGCATGACACCACCCTGCACAGTCAATGTGCAATTCATCTAGGACTACACTTGTGGGCTTCCTAACTGCCTCATACACTTATATCTATCCAGGAAAATAGTAAAACAAACCAGATTTATGCTTTACATTATAACCTAAAGAACATGTTTTCCACAACAATCCTGGGAAGTAGGGAGCAGAATATTAGTATCTTATTTTACAGATGACCAGAATGAACTTTTATTTAGTGAAGTGCCGACAAACATGCTACTAGGGTTTGATGTCAGACTCAAACATATTATATTCCCTAATTTAAATATCTAATTAAGATCCTCTAAACTGATTATTTGCCACACCTTTAATTAAAGGTGTATATTTTAAAGAGGGTACCATTATTAGCAGCCCAGTGGTATGCACTATAGCACATCAGTTGAGCTCATAAGGATTTGTGGAATTTACCTTGATGTAAAGGCATTCCAAGGATGTCAATTTCCTCACCTGTACAATGAGAATTAAAATTGCATCTGCTTCACAGGTTGTTTTGAAGCTCAAATAACGTGCTGTATGGAAAGCATTTCGCAAACGTTGAAGTGCTATGTAAATTCTGTAGTTTCATAGATTTAGAGCTAGAAGAGACCTTACAAGTCATCTAGTCTAACCTCCTCATTTTACAGAGTGAGAACTTGAGGCCAATTGGATTAAAAGACTTGCTCAAAGTCCAAAAAATAATAATTGGCAGAGTCAGGACCTGAATGCAGACCTTTTGGCTACAAATCTAAGGCTTTTTTTCCTCTCTCTTACAGGAGGGATATAAGTTCTTGTTATCATCATCATCATCATCATCATTATTGTTAATTTATTCAACAAATATTTATCATGTGCCTTTTGAGTACAGAGCAGTGAACTGGACTTTAAGGTAGACAGAAAGCTTAGCTAAAGCATGGTCCCCGCCCTTGTGAATTCTATAACCCTGTTGAAAGGTGGGGTAGGGATAAGATAGAAAGATAACTACAATATACAATGTCTCCTGTTAGGTATATTAGAAAGTTTCAACTAAATGCTTGTATTCAGGAAGTGGGGGGAGAGGATTTGTTTAGTTTGTTTAGACAATGCTTTAAGGACAAATGTACATTAATGAATAGTAGGAACCCTCTTGATGAAGTTCACATGTGTATGAAGTTATTGATTTCATATACTCATTAATTTTTTGTTTTGAATTTGAATTGAAATTAGTGGTTTTAAAATGATTTCTTGGAATGGAAAAATTCTTCCTTCATTTTCTTTATTGCTCATTTCCAATGAAGAATCATTGGAACAGAAATATGAGGTGATTCATGAGAAGAAAATGAATGGAGAAAATCCCTAGACTGGGAATCAGCTGTCCCAGATTGGTGCTGGTAATCCATTATGGAAAAGTATTAGGAAACTCACTTATACATTTTATTAACTAGAATTGAATAGGTACTGATAGTAATATTGCATCCAGAGATCTTGTCTGGGCAGAATGAGGTAAATAATGTGCTTTATAACGTGCAATAATCAGAAGAGCTTTCAATAGCCATTTTGATATGCAAGTCATAATTCATGTAATACATTTATCTTCATGTACTGAATTAATTATCTCTGTGGCTTTCTACTCCCTACCCCCACCTTCCTAATTCTTCCCAGGAAAACAGTTGGTGTTTTCTGCTGTGGACCGAGTTCAATTTCCAAGACCCTTCATCAGCTGAGTAACCAGAACAATGCTTATGGGACAAAATTTGAATACAATAAGGAGTCTTTCAGCTGAAAGCATTTGGGAACTGACAAGGACAAGGATGGACTCTTCGAAAGGATCTAGTGCAATTTTTGAAACTTCTAAAGTCAGCCACAGCCAACAGATAATGAGTGCCCAAGAATAGTGAGGTTTTCTTATTTATGATTATTTAAAATGTTAATGTAGGGGAGATGGCAGGATGATGATCCATCTACATGGGTTTAATCTGGGAACCAAAGAGGATCAGCAAAGTGTGGACTGCCATGATTTGGTGTTCAATGCTTGCATGAAAAAGAAAGCCATTAGATACACACTGTTGGTTTTATGGCTGATTGAAGAGCTCCCCATTGAGTGGCTGAACTTTCTCCACATGAGGCTGATTGTCTCTGTCATCCTTCAGTTATTTTTGGTTGAACAGGTTCCAGATTGATCAAAATTAAAAATTCACATATAAAGTCAGACTACCTTCTGTGCTTTGTATACAAACAAAATAGCTTTAATTTGGAAAAAAAAAATCCAGGCAAAGGTATTAATACTTTAGACACAGCAACCCAGGACACTATTAATACGGGTACTCTGTCAACATCTAGCCACCTCACTACTGATGCTGGTACCTCCATTTAACTCCTGCAGCTCCTAGGCTGTGGGATGGAAGTTTATGTGAGTATGGATATGGGATATATATTTTTATGTTTTAATTTTAGCCTTGTATTCAGTCCAGGGATTCTACTGTTCCCTGACAGGGGTTGAACCAAATGCCCTAATAGTCCCATCTTTAACAAACAAACAAACAAACAAACAAACAGCCTGAGTATCAGAGGACGTCTTCTACCAATTAGCTTTATAGTCTTGTCAAAATCATCTGACCTCTCTGAGCCTCAGTTTCTTCATTTGTGAAATCAGGAAGGGAATTGGTGTAGACGACTTCAAAGCGCTTCTTTAAAATTTCATGAATTTATGACCCTTCTTTATAAAAAAAGGAGGAAAATAGGATATTATGTGTGTACAGTCTCTAGGTGATTGTTTCTCTCTCCCTTTGAGCAAAGATGCTCTTTGCATCTTTTCATGGTAGAACCCTTCTTTGTTAAGAATCTACTTAATATTCATTTGGAGAATAAAAGAATTCACTTCTTTTTTAAGCTTCCACAGAAATAAGATATTTGTGGGCATTCCTTGACTGTGGAACTCTCTGAGATCGCTGAAAGTGCAGTCACTTTACATAAGCAGGGAGTGGCTATTTTACCAGGCAGGTGCCACTAGAATTTTTGCAATTTAACTCTGGCATTAAGAATCAGTTATTACAGGTTACAGAGCTAATAACTCCAGTATTAAAGATGTTATCTTTGCAACATCTAATCTCAGCAATGATATGTAATAAATATTCTTAACATTATACTCAATTTCTGCCTCCTACTACTGTTTTTTTTTAAACTATTACTGAGACTCCAGTTAATGAATCATGGAATTCTTAGCTCAGAAAGGGATAGGTTTGCTTCACTGCAAAATCAAAGTCTGTGCTATTTAAATATGTGCATATCTTTCAATTACACAAATCTGGGACAATGGTTTAATCAGGATGGCTTAGCATGCAAGTTTATTTCTACATAACATAGTTCAATATCATTTAACAAACATTTTTGAAGTATGCTGAAGATACAAAGATGAAAAATCACAGTCAGTTAACTAGCATTTATTACATGCCAACTATTTGCTAGGCACTGGGAATACAAAGAAAGGAAAAAAATAAAACAGCCTTTGCCCTCGTGTGAGTTTGCATTCTAATGGGAAGACAAAATTAAAAAAAAAACTTTACACATATAAGACTTATGTATACATGCATGTATATGTGTATGTATATATACATATATCCACATAGTATATCTATACATACACACACATGTTCACACACATATACACACATACACTTCCAGTACCTTCCCTTTATTATACACACACACACATACACACATGCATTCAAACTATGTACATAAAATATGTATGTGTATATTTGTGTGTGTGTGTATGTGTGTACTAGTAGGTACTAGAAGAGGGGAGGTGAGTTGGCAGGTTGAACAGAGATGCCATTATTAAGGTGTACTGTGAAGTGAATGGTGGGAATGCGGTACATATTCAAGTAGGACCTTCCAGCAGAATACTATGGGTACAAAAGAGAAGTCCAACATGCCATGAGAATTTTGAAGAAGGAGAGGTTATTTTCAACCAAAAGATTGGGGATGGGAAAGGAATTGGAGGAAATCCTATGATGTGCAATCAATATCAAATAGATTCAGATTCACCAATAATAATTTGATCAAGGCTTGGTCTAAAATCATATGGAGCTCACTGATTGAATGGGAGGAGCTTATGGAGTGTTATATGAAAATGACTTGAAGACAGAAGCTGATTTTTTTTACTTAATACACTCAGTATTGCTTAACAAACATTTATTAAGCACCTCCTATGTCAGGCATTGTACTAGGCCTGAAGACACAAAAAACAAAAATTACTACCCTTAAAGAGAATTCATTCTACTAAGTATAACACATACAGAAAAAAAAATCAAATATATATGTGTAAAAATAAATACACAGTTTTTTTTTCTGTTAGGAGCACTAACAGCTGGGGAGGGAGGGGAGAAGAGCATGTCATGAAAGGTGTCTTATAATAAATAGTAATTGAGTGTAAAATTATTTTGTCCAATGATGTGCCATGCTTATTTTCAATGCTCTTATGAATTGAGGCATAGATTAGAATGGTGTAGTAGGTTTAGCCTTCTTTCATTTCATGGACAGCCTCTCGCAGTCTGGTGAAAACTATGGACTCCTCAGAATGATGTATTTAAATGCACAAAATAAAATACATAGAATTACAAGGAAAACCAATCACACTGAAATACAGTTACCAAAGTCTTTCTAAAAAACAAAATCATGGAATCTAGGTTAAGGATTCTTCATGTAGTGTAGAGAAAGCAATCAGGACCAAGAAGAACTGAGTTTCAGCACTACCTCTGGGTGTATGACCCTGCACAATTAAGTCACTTAACCTATCAGTGCTCTATGCAATTCAGTAAGACTATATATTTCAGAGTAGGCAGTGATGCATTTGTAGCAGCAGCTTTCCTATCAGACAGTTCTTTATACCAAAGAAATAGCAGGTTCAGCCCCATTAGACTAGCTTGATGGTGTATTAAATTCAGGCAAGAGTTTGGTTTGTTGGCCATCCTAGCTTCTTCCAAAGCCAAAGTCTTACACTTCTGGAGTGTATATAAGTCTTATTATTAGGTGAGTCACCAGGGTTTAAATTGTGAATGACCAAGAGATTCAGTCTCCCTAAGAATTGCTTTCTCTGGTGGCTCTGAATTGTGGTTTAACCTATCTACAATTACTAAATGGAAGAGCGTGCCCCCATTTCCTTATTTTCTATTGGAAAAGGAAAGAAAATAGTTTTTTAGTGACATAACTTTACCAGATTTCAGAACAAAATCAATCTCTTTATGCAGTGGCTGGTTTTAGATACACTACTAGTAGATTGAGAGTCACAGGAACTGAATTTTAAACTTGACTCCATCCCTATTTAGATTTTGACCTTGGACAAATCCCTCTTCTATCAAATAGCAAGCTAGTTAGGCATTTTTGAAGAACTATTTTATCAGCTGTGTGACCTTTAGCAGTATCTTTCATTTCCTTGGTCCTCAGTTACCACAACTGTAAAATCCAGGATTCGAACTACATAATCTCATCTCTTCTGGCTTGAAATTCTACATAATATCCTAATTAGGTAGGGCATTGTTCAAATAATTGTTGGGATTATACCAAGAAATTAACCTGGTGAAATAAAAAAGAAAGCCTAAATTCCCTGCTTAATTCACCAACAATATAAAGACTCTTCCAAAGGAATCTTTCCATCAGAGCTTTTCCTTCCTTGGGAATCACGTCCATTTTAATAGAAGGTTTCTGTGGAAGAGAGGCAGTATTTTTCTGTATCATGAATGGAAATCTCTCCAGTGGAAATCAAATCCCACAATTATTTCATGCTGTTTGCTTGGTGACTTATCGTTAGGTCGCATGTATGTGGAAACATATGACAATTCACTTAGTTTTCAATTTGTTTATTTTTAAATAAGGGATTGAAATGAATGATTGGCTATTTTTCATTTCAGTGACTTGAAAAGCCCCCATTGGAAGGGTTCTGATTGCAAAATAGCTTAAAAATAAACACAGAAAAGCTTGGTGATTTATCCAGTGTAGTGTAGTCTGATGAGTTGATCCATTGCACCAGAAAGTCTGTAGCTCCCAAATAAGCATTTACTTTGAACCATCACCATGGGGGTTGGATTTAAATCATGTGATATTGTTTAAAGACGCTTGCTAGAGACAAACAGGTTGTTGCTGCTGACGGTGTTGGTGCCAAGAAGGCTTCAGCATTTCAAAGACTCCATTTTAGGGAAAAAAGATGCCATATCTATTTGAAACAGTAAAATTTGTAATAAAACATGTCTTAGGACATTATAAATTTATATAAAGCTTTTTCTTAGAGGATCAAAAAAAATGTTGCAGCTGAAAGGGACCTTAAAGATCATTTGCTCCAATCCTCTCATTGGACAGATGAATAAACGGAGGCCCAGAGAAATGCCTTGCCCTAGGTTATGGGTGGAACCACTAGAACTCAAATCTCCTGACTTCCTCTATAGTATTCTTTCCAGTTTGAAGTCTCCTAATAGTAGCATAATGTTCCTTGTTCGTGTTGTTGTTGTTTAGTCATGTCTGACTCTTTATAACCCCTTTTGGGTTTTTTTTTGTCAAAGATACTAGAGTAGTTTGCCATTTCCTTCTCCAGCTCGTTTTACAGATGAGAAAACTGAGGCAAATAGAGTTAAGTGGCTTGTTCAGAGTTGCGCAGCTAGTGACTGTCTGAGGTCAGTTTTGAACTCAGGAAGATATGTCTTCGTGACTCCAGACCTGGTACTCTATCCACTGTGCCATCTTAGCTGCTCCATAACTAGTCTTTTCTGATAGAATGATAGAATTTAAAGCTGGTAGGGATCTTAGAAATCAACTACTCCAGGTGCTTATTTTACATATGAGGAAATTGCCTCATATGTAAAATAAGCACCTGGAGTTGTTAGTTTCCTAGAGACGGGAACTAACATCCCAAATCACATTTAGTAGTACAGCCACAATTGTGAACTTGACCAACTGATTTCAAATCTCAAATTTATTGATTTGAGGCCCAATATAATCTCTACTTATACATATGTACCTACATAATCTTTTAAAGATAGATTCTCCTTTTCAAAAATTAGCTTTTAAAACATGTGACATTGAAATAAAGGATTAATTAATTTTGACTACAGCTTTGTACTTTAAAAACTATATTGAAAAATAGTACTCTTCAGATTTTCTTTGAGTTCCTGTTTTCCTCCTATCACATCCTGCCTTGTAGCATACTTGTGTGTATATATGCAGCCAGGTGGTGCGGTGGATGGAACACAGGAGTAGAAGTCAGGAAAACCTGAGTTTGAATTCTGTCTCAGATACTTGCTAACTGTGTGATTGTAGGGAAGCCACTTAATTTCTCACAGCTTTGGTTTCCCCATTTGTAAGATGGGAGCAATAATAGATCTCCCAAGACCATTGTGAGGATCACATGAGATATCACATAAAATGCTTTGCAAACCTTAAAGACTATATAAATGCTAGTTATAATGATGAAAGTGATGAGGATGGTGATTATATAGAGGGTTTATTCTCCCAGACACCCATAGATTATAAGTTCTTAATAACAGGACTGCGTTACTTCCCTTCACTGCACCCCCAGTATCTAATAAAATGCCTGGCACAAAGTAACTGCTTGATGAATGCTTGTTATTTTGAATGACTTCAATTTCACTGAATTACTCTAATGTTAGAAATTTAACTTTGCACTGAAATATCAAAATTTCTTGCTCCCATCCCTGCAAGAGAGTTAGAAAGGTAATAAAATGAAGTCAGCATCATTTTTATGCTTGCCCAACCTTAAATTGTTACTTGGCTACAATGGAAAGAGGGGAACTGTTATCTAAACTAGTAAAAGTGAAATGAATGTAATCATATGTAAAGGGATTGATTTTTACCACAAATGGAATGCATAAGTATACAATGAAGAGTATGCATTTTCTGCTTTCCACTTTTCAAAAGCTCAAACAGCCCAGCCTTTTCAGTCAGGTATTGCAAAATTCCAAATAGGAAAAGAAATCCAGCAATCTAAATGCCATTGACTAAGGTTGGGAAGGACAGTTAGGTGGCGCAATTGATAGAGCACCAGCCCTGGAGTCAGGAAGACCTGAGTTCAGATTTGGTCTCCCAACACTTTTCTTTAAGTATCAGATACTAATCTTTGAGCTGGAGAAGGAAATGGCAAA